CACCCTAAAAACCTGTGGGTGGAAATCCCAGTTGCTACTGATAAAAATGCTGTAGTAGGACTGTATTATCCTTTTTGATTTCTGTGAGAGTGGTCAGTGGGGCCAGGGGAGCAGTAAATGTGGGATGGTGGCATGAGTGGGAGCCTGCGTACTGGCGGGATCAGTGCCTTATCAGGATGAGGTGCAGAAGCAGAATTTTTGATTGCTATAAATCCCTGCTTCTAGGACAAGCTGGTTGAGGAACCCAGAGAAACAAATGCTAGAAAGGCACAAGGGATGTTTGAGGGATGTTGGTGAGAAACTGCTCTGAGGTTGCAATCCTACAATGTGATCTCTTAACACTGAAAAGGGAGAAAGCAGGCCATGTGCATCCAATGCAATTAAACGGAGGCAATCATTAGAAACAGTTACCCCCAGCTACAGCACTGGCACCATAGGGGTCCCTGGGACCACAGGCTGGTGCCTGTCCTGGGCAATGTAAGAGTTGCTGTCCTGGAGAGAAGTTGCTGGCCAGGAAATCCCAGTCTGGTTTTCCAATGAGTAACTAAGCAGAACAAACACAGTTATTCAGCACTGCATTGTGCTGGTGTTCCCTTTGTTTTCTGCATATCTCAGGGAGATAGACTTGGACAGATCCAGCTCCAGCAGCATTTGGAATCAGCCATCAGAATAATCTGTTCTCCCACGTAGCTTAGGGCTCTGACCCAATAGGGATTTGTTTTTGATGGTGTTTTCCTGCTGCTTCAGTTACTGCTGAAACAGATTGTTTAATTGGTCCCTCTACCTGGTTTCTATGAAAGCCAGTCATTGCAGCTCCAGACTCCAGGCAGATCCCTGCCTGAGGCATGGAGGGATCAGCCCATGCCACCTGCAGCTTAACAAGTTGATGAGAGAGAAAGACTCCACCTCACACTTGCTTTTTATTGTAGGAAGAACATTTAAATAGATTTCCCAGTTGTAACATCAGTTGTAAAACCAAATCACAAGACTCCAACAAAGAAGGTTTTTCTTCCCTGTCTGCAATTTGTTTTCCATTTGCTGGTTCTGATTTAGCAGTGTTAGCTTGGAAAGGTCCTTAAACAACACTTATTGCATTTCCCTCTCTACAAAATATAACTGCAAAGAGAGCAGGTTTAGATTAGATATTAGGAAGAAATTCTTGACTGCAAGTGTGGTGAGGCCCTGGAATAAGTTGTCCAGAGAAGTTGTGGATGCCCCATCCTTAGGAGTGTTCAAGGCCAGGTTGGATGGAGCCCTGAGCAACCTGGTCTAATGGAAAGTATTCCTACCTATGGAAGGGGAGCTGGAACTTGGTAATCTTTAAGGTCCTTTCAAACTCAAACC